GAGTAGGAGGAGCACTCCTTCCGGCAGTGACACACCTGGGCGTCCGGGACCTCGGGGACACCTGGGAACGAGAACCACGGACAGGGACGGCTGTGAAAAACCGCACGCACGCACCACCGGGTCCCGAAACGTTCTCTCCCAGCGGTCGCACGCTGGTCTTCGTCCATTCACCCATTCTCTAAACACAGCATCCCGTACAGGGCCCTGGGGGAGCTGGAGTCTATCCCAGCAAGCAACAGGCACAAGGCAGGGTACACCCTGGGCAGGACACCAGTCCATCACGGACACGGACACCTGTCTGGACCCTCCACTCCGAGCTCTTCCCAGGTCAAGGGGAATCCCACTACCCCCACCAGTGTGCAGCCCCACCTGGATGATGCTCCAGTCCTCTCACACACACCAGCTCTCAGTGGGGAGGAGAGCAGAGGGATGGAGCCAGTTCAGAGAGGGGGGTTATTAGGAGGCCATGAGGGGTAAAGGCCAAGGGGGGAATTTGGCCAGGACACTGGGGTAACACCCCTACTCCTGTCGAGAGACACCCTGGGATTGTTAATGACCACAGAGAGTCGGGACCTCGGTTTTATGTCTCATCCGAAGGACGCCGCCCTCAACGCCCCCGGCACTTCTGATGCTGTTGCTGTTCTTCGTCCCTGATGCGGCGTGCGTCTACACGTTTCACAGAGATATTTCTGTGTAACGTTCAGAGAGGGGGGTTATTAGGAGGCCGTGACACCAGGGTAACACATGGGGAGAGGACTGGCGCATCGTCCAGATGGGAGGGGGCGACACACTGGTGGCGGCAGTGGGATTCCCCCTGACCTGGGAAGGGCTTTGAGTGGAGGGTCCAGGGAAGAGCTGGAGAGCGATTATTGTTTCATTAATCGAAACGAAAGTGCGGGCAGGCGACCTCACTCACCGATCTGCCGGGCGTAGTCGCGGCTGTAGTAGTAGAGCAGCTCGTGGTCGGGGGGGATGTCCCTCGAGGAGCAGAAGTACAGCTTCCCGCTGTGGGGGTAGGCCACCAGGTTCTGCTCCTCCCCGGTGCTGCGCGGGAAAGACGACGGGGGGGGCGGCGGGATGAGTGAGCTGCCCCCTCTGGCTGCAGGGCCTGCGAGCCGCCCAGAAAAACCCCCCCCCCCCCCCGCAGATCCTACAATCCACCCATCTATCAATCCATCCACCAATCCGTCCCTCCATCAATTAATCAATCCATCCATCATCCACCCATTAATCCGCCAATCCATCAATTCATCAATCATCAATCCATCAATCAATCCATCATCAATCTATCATCCATCAATTAATCCATCCATCCATCATCAATCATCCATCAATCAATCCATCAATCCATCCATCATCCATCAATCAATCATCAATCCATCCATCATCCATCAATTAATCTATCCATCCATTAATCCATCAATCTATCATCCATCAATGAATCCATCCATCCATCA